AGTGACGCGTCCAAAAAGGGGTTGGGGTGCGTGCTAATGCAAAAAGGCAAGGTAATAGCATACGCATCTAGGCAACTCAAAACCCACGAAGAAAATACCCCACCCACGACCTCGAGCTAGCCACCATCGTATTCGCACTAAAAATTTGGAGGCATTACCTATACGGAGTGCAAGGCAAGATCTACACAGACACATAGAAAGTATCATACAACTAGAGCCTCCCGGCAATAAGGGCCTTACCTTGGAACAAGGACCTTGATGGTTCTAAGGCACCATAAGAAGTACATGTAACACACAAAATCGCCAAAACACCATGCGACGTCAAAGGGCAGTCAATCAAATGCATTTTAAGGAAGAGAAACGCATCACCAAGCACTTGGTCACCAAAGGATTGAACAAAGAACGAGCGACAAGCCGAACTCCAAGAAAAAAACCAAGAAGGCTTGTCATCAATCAAGCAAGGAAAAGACAAAGTTGGCTTATAACCAACTTCCCGGTGAAGGTGACGAGGTTGCTAATTGGGAACCTGACCCGACCTACTGAACGGAAAGAACATGCGAGAGTCTTGACTCATCTATAACTCGTACTTAAGGATCAATAAAACTATACGATGGGTCATCCTATGTATTCAAGTACCTTTTTATTGTGCACATGGGCATGGGGCTTGTCGGGACTTGAATCGGTGCATTCTTGGGATTTTTCCCGAAGAAATTCACTCTTCCTAGTCACCTTCCCGCGGGTTCCCAACGGGACCTTGATGGGACCCTAACGGGTCCTGGATGGGACCTTGGCGGGACCTTGACGGGTCCCTGACAGGAGCTTGGCAGGCGGACGACCGCCCACCTCACGTCCACTGGTACAATGTGCTGATTTCTTAACCCCTCGTTTATTGATTCATGGCGCACTTGTGTGCCTCGATTGATGAACGCAAGTCTTGGGTAAAGAACCATGGGTCGCCCAAACATGGTGTCATCGGTAAAAGACCTTGACACGCAAGACACCGTCGGAAAAGCACAACCAATTGCATTACACGTGGAGTTGAAGTTGGATTCTACGATGCAACCGACTAGGGATTATTGGCATAAAGGATTGTGCAGACCAAGGAGACGAGTTGGGAACTCGTGCTAAGGACTCACAAAGGCCTTAAAAGTCAAAATGCTAAGGATGGATCGGGACTCCTCCAAACCATGGATATCGTTCAAGCAAATCAGAGGACTCCTTACAAGTTGTATGGAATCAAGAACGACGTAGCCCGTGGTGCTAGGCAAAAAGTAAAGAGCACATTTGTGCCAAGATCTCAAGGGTCATTAAGGACCCACAAGGAGATGAGATGACTCGTAAACTCACCGAGTCATTCCACAACGAGATTAGGTAACCAACTGCGCTTCAAGAAGAAAAAGAGCATGCAAGGACACCTTCATCATTAGAAGTAACACAAAAGGGCACAACAAGCCGAACCTCGGAGAAGACATGAAGTCTTACTAAGAATTTCACTCACTAAAGAAGAGATGAAATTCAATAAGAAAAAGTCAACCCAAAGCTTATCGACTCCCAAGAGACTTTGGGAAGAATTTGGGAAGTGCGCCCCAAGAGATCGGCTTGGTTGACCAAACTTGGTCAAGACCTTGGACGCATTAACGAAGTAAGTGTTAAATCATCACGAGAGATTCCCTCAAGATAGGAGAGAAGGATGAAACTTTAGCCTGGGAAGCAAGGTCTAACAAGGATCTTAATGTCAAGCAAGTGCCAACACCAAGGGAGAAGGATCATCAGTTCGTCAATACGTCGGGATCAAAGCATCAAACCAGAATAGTCACTTAAAATCGAGAACCCTTAACCCATCCTAGCCGAATTCCTTTCCCCTCCCTCGGGAAACCGGCCCCCTCCTTATTTCAAAACCCTTTCTACCCTTCAAACCACATTCTTGATTCCCTACTTTAACAATTCCATACAAGGTGGCAACCTCACACCCTAAGTTGCAACCTTGAAAACTTTGATCCTAATTCCTAAATTCACCTTGTCCTCAGGTTTGAAACCCACTCTCTTAGCCCTTTAAACCTAATCGTTCCCAAAGACCCAGCACACATAAACATACAATTATACAGTTTCCCCGTAGAATGCTTTCGCTATAGGACCACCGTACTACTTTGGACACGTTACCCCAGCAATGATATCCAAGCTTCGGGGACGAAGCTTCTCGTAAGGGGGGGAGAGTGTAACACCCCGTGTTACGGCCTTCAATCCCGAATTAATTATTTAATTAATCCCGTTAATAATAATTAAATATGATTTAATTCGGTTAGGTTTCCTTTAATTAATTAATAAGGTCCACCATGAACCGTGGACCCTTGCCTAAATTAGAGTCTTAAGCCTATTAGGAATAAAGGAAGTAGGCCTTTTACTATTCAGACTACGATTAGGATTCCCTTTAATTAATTAATATGGTCCGCTATGGACCATGGACCCTTATCCCTAAAATAAGCCCTTAGTCCTATAAGGAATAGAATTAGTAAACCCATACCATTCAGACCCTAATTAGGAATCTTAAATATATAAATAGGGATATAGGAGGCACCTAGATCTTTCACCACCATAATCTCTCACCACATAAGAAGTTCCAAGAATCCCCTCAGGAAAAATCAAGAAAGAAGAAAGCTTAAAGAAAGACCCTTCATAGCCAAGGAATTAAATAAGGCTAAGAGGTAACCCATGTCTCAACAAAACCTATTTTCATAGCTATGATTCCCCTCTTAGGATTTTCCCATATTATTGTGTATTGATGATTTGTGATATTATTATTGATGATTGATGGGATGATTCCATGGGTGATCTTGATGATGAAAGGTTCTTGATAATTATGGTGTTCTTGATGATTATATGATGTTCTTGATGATTGTAGGATATTCTTGATGTTTATGTGATATTCTTACCAAATCTTGATGTTAGAAGATGAATTGTGTCCTTGTTGATTTAAAAATGATTAGAACCCTAGGTTGTATCGTATGGAATTATTCTTGGTATATTGGGTGGAAATTCGCATGATTGGGTGTTTATTATGTTTAGAAAAGCATGATAGGTTATATGCCGTTTGTTTCCTGATTTTGATCCGTTAATTGTCTACGTGTGTTATCAATTGCGTTTGAAAGTGTCTAAGCGTGGTTTCGGGTTCCACAAAGGTTCCCGGGGCTTTTTTGATGAAAAAGAGTCAGTGGGGGTAGGTCGGGGTAGGGGACCCGCCACCTACCCGCGGCCAAAAGAGGAGCTCCGGCAGCGGGCAGCTGCCCGTCGGGCACCCGCTGCCCGGAACAGTAACCACCGGCGGGCAGCCGGCGGGTGAACCCCCACCCACCGGCTACCCGCTGGAAATTCCCACCCTTCGGGATCCTGGCTTCCCCGTTTGATGATCCCCCGACCCCCGTGGTGTCCCAACGGACTCTGTCAACGCCTATGTCTAGTTTGATTTTCGGGTACCATTCGTAGGTCGTATGAGTCTTATACATTGCATGCTAGTTGAATTGGTATCCCGTTGACCTAGGTGAAAGGAGTATGAACCCCTTAGGACTATTCTTAGTATGTGAAGGGATCACGCATATGTTTTGTTATACGTTTTCTCCCCCTTCCCAATGTGTTAATGTGGGTTGTATGTGCTTGCTATGTGTTATGTGTGCATGTTACCCCGATCTGGTTGAGATCAATCGGGCTATACGGGCAGTCGGGTCGGCTGAGAACCATACCGGCTATTAACCAGGATGGTAGAGACCGGTCAGGTATATAAATATTATATAGGACTAAGATCCACTATACGGGCAGTTGAATGGGTTGAGAACCATCCCAACTGTTAACCAGGCTGGTAGAGACCGGTCAAGTATATAAATATTATATAGGACAAAGGTCCACTATACGGGCAGTTGAATGGGTTGAGAACCATCCCAACTGTTAACCAGGCTGGTAAAGACCGGTCAGGTATATAAATAATATATAGAGCTGCGGCTCATCGGTCGGTTGCGATCGACCCCTCCGTGCTGTGAAACGGGGCAGGGTGCTGCGGGGCCGTGTCAGAGCTATATGCGCTGACCCTCATGTATGGGCATGCGATTGGTCCTGTGGCGCCAACAAAGTGTGCTATGTGATGAAGTATGGATGAGTTGTTGTTATGAGTATCTTGGGGATGAGACGATGGGATTTGTACCGGGGATCGTATATGTTGGGTTATGATTATTAATTGTGCTTATCTTATCTGTCTTGCCTATTGTAAACTGTATATGCTTGGTATAACTGCTGTCTGTGCTTAGCCCTACCTGTTGAGTCTATCCCTGTTTTAAAAGCTAGAGTTCGTAGGATATATCTTCATGTTCAAAATGGTTTTCGTATATATATATATATATATATATATATATATATATATATATATATATATATATATCTATATGTATTGTATTTCAACTCGTTGGAGTGGGTTACCAGCATCTCTCGCTGAACAGATATATTTGGCTTTCGGGCACAGACGAGTAGATCACTGGAGCGCGCTAGATGCTTGGGGCATAGCTTAGATAGTTTTCCCTTTCGGCCTGCGTGCCATGATTTAGTATTGATACTGATTGAGGTTTTAGAATTTAGCCTGTGCATCCGAGTTCTCTAGCTCGGGTGTGGCATAGCACCCCGTACTCTTTGTATCGTATTTTGGGATTTAATGAGATTCTATCTTTATTATATAAGTTTTAAAAGTCTTGAAAATCTGGGGTGTTACAGGCTTCCCTTCTTCGCAGCACAAGGTCGCCGACTTGGAAGTACCGGGGTCAGATCCACCCTTTGGTGGAGTTCCTTTTGTTCTGACTCGAATTCCTCCACCCTTCTACTAGGTATGATTACTTCCACCGGGGCCCGAGCTTCAAATCCGTAGGCGAGTGCGAACGGGGTTTCTCCGGTGGCCCTTCTTGGTGTCGTGCGATAGGCCCAGAGGATGCCGTCGAGTTCCTCCACCCAGGCTCCGCCAGCCACTTCTAGCTTTTTTCTGAGGCCGTCGAGGATGGTTCTATTCGCATTCTCCACTTGCCCTTCGCCTGAGGATAAGATACCGCCACCCGGCTATGCTTAACGCCCCATCCTGCTAAGAATTCTGAAAATTCTCGTGCCTCGAACTGTCGGCCATTGTCTGTGATTACATGGAGAGGGATACCGAAACGATACAGGATGTTTTTCTCGACAAACCTTTTGCACCTTGCTGCGGTGATGCTTGCCAGGGGCTCGGCCTCCACCCATTTCGTGAAATAGTCAATGGTCACAATGATGTACTTCCTGCTTCCAGTCCCCGCGGGAAGGGCCCCTACCAGGTCAATTCCCCATCTCGAAAAAGGAATCGCGGTTCTTACCGGGGTGTAGTTCGTAGCAGGTCGACCCGGCAGTACTTGGAATTCTTGGCACTTGGGACATCGCTTTGTATACTCGGCGCAGTCCCTCAGCATTTTGGGCCAAAAATACCCTTGTAACATGATGCGTCGTGCGATGGTGTACGCCCCTTGGTGCGCGGAGCATACCCCCTCGTGGACTTCTTTTATCACCAACTTTGCTTCATCTGGATATAGAAACCTCAGTAACGTGCCGTTGTAGGAGCCTTTGTACAGTTTATCGCCCGAGACAATGTAGCTAGGTGCCCATAACTTCGTTACCTTTGCGCCTGCCTCGTCTTGCGGTAGGGTGCCGTCTGCCTTGTATCGTTTGATATGATCAATCCAACATGGCTCCCTAGTTTGCACAGGGAAGACCCACGAAACGTCGATACTTGAAGTCTCGAGGTCTTCTAGTCGAGCGATCTTCCTAATGTGGCTGGGGACTCCAGTACTTAGCTTTGAGAGCATGTCGGCGTCGGCGTTCTGCTCTCTAGGTACCTGGTGTATCTCATATCCCTTAAACTCGCCCAGGGTTCTCAACACCGCGTCTCTGTATTTCTGCACGCTTCCTTCGTTGGCTTCATACTCCCCAGACACCTGGCTGACCACCAGCTTGGAATCGCATCGAATTCGGACCTTCTCAGCTCGTAGTCCCGCCACCAATCGCAGTCCATTGAGGAGGGCCTCATACTCTGCCTCATTGTTAGATAATTTGAAGTGGAATCGGATGGCATAGTAGGCGCGGAATCCCTCCGGAGTGACGAGCACTACGCCACCGCCGCAACCTTTGCTGTTTGAAGAGCCGTCTGTGGACAAGGTCCACCACCCTCCATCTTCAGTTTCTACCTGGTCCGTCACTTCCTGAGCTGTGCACTCCACTATAAAGTCTGCAAGAGCTTGGCCTTTGTTGGCGGGCCTTGGTTTGAAATCGATGTCAAACTGACTGAGGTGCATGGCCCATCGCGCCATCCTGGCGGAGCTGTTAGTATTCCATAGGAAGCTCCCCAACGGCTGATGTGAGAGTACATGGATGGGGTGAGCTTGGAAGTAGTGAGCCAACCTCTTTGATGAAGTGACTATGGCAAATACTATTTTCTCCAACACACTGTATCGGAGCTCCGCGTAGGGCTTTGCTTACGTAGTAGATGGGACTCTGAGTCCCTCCTTCTTCTTTGACCAGCACGGAGCTGATCGCACCCTGTGATACGCCCAAGTACAAGATTATGGTTTCACCTGCCTCTGGTTTTGCAAGCAGGGGCGGGGACAGTAAGTATTTTTTCAACTCTTCGAAGGCCTTTTGACAGTCTGGTGTCCACTCGAACCCTTTGCTCTTTTTCAAGATTTGGAAAAAGGGGAGGGAACGTTTAGCCGATTTAGATAGAAAACGGCCTAAGGCCGCCAGGCGCCCGTTGAGTCTCTGGACTTCCTTTATGGACTGCGGAGGCTCCATGTCAAGGATAGTCCTTACCTTTTCCGGATTCGGCTCAATGCCGTTCCTGGTGACCATGAAGCCCAAAAATTTGCCCCCATCAACGGCGAAGGTGCATTTTTTTGGGTTCAAGTGCAAATTAAATTTCTTCATAATGGAAAATACCTCGCTGAGATCCTCGGCATGTGAGGTGGCCTTGCGACTTTTGACGATCATGTCATCCACGTATGCTTCCATGTTTCGTCCCAGTACTGTCTTGAACAGCTTTGCCACCATGCGAGTGTATGTGGCCCCGGCATTCTTCAATCCGAACGGCATGACCAAGTAGCAGAATATCCCCTCGGGAGTGGTGAAGGCGGTCTTCTCTGCGTCCTCCTCATGCATGGATATCTGATGGTACCCACGGAAGGCGTCCATGAAGCTCATGAGTTCACATCCTGCCGTCTCATCCACCAATTGATCTATATTGGGTAGTGGAAAACGGTCCATAGGGCATGCCCTATTGAGGTCCGTGTAGTCCACGCACATCCTCCATGTTGATCCTTTGGGAGCCAAGACTACGTTGCTCAGCCACTGTGGGTAGTAAATCTCCTTGATGTGCCCTACGTTGAGTTATGCGGTCACCTCCTTTTTCACGAACTCTCTTCGTTCTGCCGACATATACCTTTTTCGCTGATGCACCGATTTTCCGCTGGGATCGACCGCGAGCTTGTGGGTTATGATCCTTCGATCTATGCCCGGCATGTCCTCTGGCCCCCATGCGAACACCATGTGAGAACGGCGGATTACATCCACTATCTGGGCCCTTAGCTCTGGGCTTAAGCCTGTGCCGATCTTCACCACTCGGTCTGGTCTGGAGAGATCCAGAACTATATCTTCTGTCTCTGACATGGGCTCGGCGCGGGGCCAGGCCTCTTCTTCTTTGAAAATTTACTCCGCGATCGTGTGGACCTGTAGGTCCTTACTACCAATCTTCTTGCATGCCTTCACGTAGCAACTGCGGGCTGCCCATCGGTCACCTCTAACGACTCCTATTCCATTCGGAGTGGGGAACTTCATACACAAGTGTTCCACCGATACTATGGCCTTGAGGTCCTCCAGTGCTGGCCTCCCGAGTATGATGTTGTGCGCACAGGTGAGTCTTACCACGATGAACTCCATGTCCAGCTTGCGAATGTTGGGGCTCGTGCCTATTTCCACGGGCAGGGTCACCGACCCCTCTGTTTCCACCGAATCCCCAGTAAACCCAAAGAGTGGAGTTCGTACCTCTTTGAGCTGGCCTCTAGGTAGCCCTAATTTGGTGAAAGCGTCGTAGTACATCACGTTAACCGAGCTTCCCGTGTCGACCAAGATGCGATGTACGCCGTATCATTGATATCCATCTTGATCACAAGTGCGTCGCGATGGGGTAAGGGGCCCTCGGGGAGGTCCTCGTCAGAGAAAGTGATGGCCTCCCGCCTCTGTTTCTTTCCTTTGGGAAGACTTACCACTTCTCCCACGTACAGCTGTCTGCTCCACTTCTTCCTTTCTGTGGGTGTGTCGCCCCCCGCAAGTCCACCATAGATATAGTGTATGGTGTGCTTCCTTTGTCGTCTGAGCGCCACCTCGGTTTCCTTCTCGCTATCATCCTGCTCAGATATCTGGTCATGTTCTCTTTTCTTGGCGTTCGAGGTGGACGGCTCAGCACCATCCTCCTTCCTCCAGACATTTTTTGGTGGATTTTTTTATGGATCGTGCTGCGGCTGTTGCTGCTGCTTGGATCGCTTGACAAAATGCCGGAAGTAGCCCTGCTGGATGAGTTCTTCTATCTGCCTCTTCAGCACGTTACATACATCCGTGTCGTGCCCGGGTTGCCTATGGAACCTGCAGTACTTTGCTTGGTCTCCTTTTGTGGAGACCTTCATGCACTCTGGTGGGAACTCGACTATCCCCATCTCCTCAGCTTGTTTCAAGATGACACTGATGGGATGGGTGAGAGGAGTTAGGTTACGTAGGGGAACCAAGCGAGGTCGTTCATAGTCCCGGCCTTTTCCTGCGGCCGGGTGGTTTGGACGTGGTGCCTGGCCGGACGGACCAGCTTTCCCAGGTTTCCCGTTCTTCCTGCCGTCCTCCTCATCTTTCTTTTTCCTGTCGACGTCCTCCGCTTCGGCATAGCGGCTAGCCGTCCTCATCAGATCTTCGTAAGAACGGGGGTGGTGGGCATTCAGTTGCTTGTGAAAGTACCCCGATCTCAAGGCATGGATGAATATAGGGATTGCCGCCTTGGAGTCGAAGTCATACACATTATTGACTTCCTTTTTCCACTTAATCATGAAGTCTTTCAGGCTTTCGCCTCTATCCTGCTTTACTACGCACAGGTGAGAGAACGGTTTCTTACGCTGTATGCTACCAGAGAAGTATGTCAGGAAGCTTTTGGACAACTCTCCAAAATTTTGGATCGACCCGTCTGGGATGGTGTTGAACCAATCTTGGGTCGTTCCATCCAGGGTGGACAAGAACGCTCGGCACATGATGGCGTCCCCTGCCCCAATCATCACCATAGCAGCCTTGTACCTAGTCATGTGGACACGTGGGTCAGTGGCTCCTGTGTATGCCTTGATGGCAGGTAACCTGAAGTCCCTCGGCAGAGGTACGTCCATGATGCTTGGGGAGAACGGTGCTGCCATTCGTACCTCGGCTTCCGGCGACTACTCCCGTGCCTCCACCCTTCTTGCTAACTCCTCGATCCTTCTCTGCAGCCTTTCGACCAAGGCTGATTCGTCAGGGTGCCGGCGCGGGGCCGGCTGCCGCTCCTCCATGTGTGGGGCTAGTTCGTGTCGTCCATCTGAGTGTCGACGCGGAGCTGGTTCCTCGACGTTTTGTCCATCCAAGTGTCGATGTGGAACCCGCTCACCAACGCGTCGTTCGCCCGCTGAGTGCCGACGCGGAGCCGGCTCATCGACGCGTCGCTCCGCCGAGTGCCGACGCGGGGCCGGTTCGTCGAAGCGTCGCTCTTCCGAGTGTCGACGCGGGGCGGAATCATCACCGTGGTGGCGCGGGGCCGGCCCACGAGACTCGCCCATCCTTTCTATGGGCGATCTCTCCGCTACTCTTTCCTCGTGTCGGCGAGGGCCTCTAGCGGAGGACCCCTCGGCACGCGACTCCAGCCCTTGCCGAGTGGGCGCCCCATGTCCCAACCGTTCTAAGGCAGAGCGGGAGGGCCTAGGTTGCCGTCCGGCCGGTCCGCTTCTCTGGGTGCCCTCTCCCGGACCCCCGGTCCTAGTGCGTCGCCCTGCGACCCTCGCGGCACGAGTTGCGTCCTAGGCGTCCACCCTTCGTGGAGATTCTATTTCTATTTCCTGAGGCCGCAGCAGGGGCACTTGGCCTTGTAGTCCCACCGCCACTTGGTTTAGTGCCGCTGCCACCGCTTGCTGGATGGTCGCCTGGAGGTCCACGACTTGGTTCGCCCCTCCATTGATGAGTTGGTCCCGGAGGTTTCCTCCATTGTTGAGTTGGTCTCGAAGGTCCCCGGGCCTCCCGTTGTTGAGCTGTTCTCGGAAGTCCCCTCCGCGATTGTTGGTGAGTTGGTCCCGGAGGTCACCTGAGGCATTGCCATTGTTCACGTTGCGGGAACCATGAGAGCTGCGGGACACCATTCTTTCAAGCTTGCTGTTGAAAGAGGAATGAGTTGTGTGTGTCGTAGCCTGCTTGAGTATTGGACTCAGGCTCTTAATGAAAGCACCAATGACGGTAAATATGTTACCGGAAATATATTGTAAAGTAACGAATAAGAAAGTAACAATAGTTGTATTGCCTTTGTCTCAGTATAGAAAGTACAGTGTGTCCTTGTCTAGTGAGGAGAGCCTCAATTATACTTAGGAGTCCTAACGGTAACAACATGGGACATAAATGGGGAGCCTAGCCTTTAATTCTCTCTCATCAATGGGGGCTTCAATGCTGGCTTCAATGACAGTAAGGTGACACCTGTTGGGATTCCTAACCGTTGCAGTTCTGCCCGTTGGGTTCCCAAGCGATGCTGAGTCAGATGCCCATTTATGATCCGGGTCGGGTGCCAGCCCTATTATCCTGTCACCCACAAAACAGAAAAATAAAGGAAAATATTATTTGTTCTCTCATTTTTTAATATCAACTTTTACTTCTACACATAAAATTTTGATGTTAACATTTGTATTGGGATCTGTTGAAAAAAGGGCTTGTAATCTGTAATACATTTGAGATACAACAATAATACAGAATACAATAGGGAACAAAAATTGGATCATTTGATATCTTCAGGCGTGTAATCACTTTCCTATAAGTTTTAAATCTCCCTCTATAAAAGCAACAAGGTTCAAGATTTAATCTTATGCGATACAAGAAGATGAATGAAATTCTCAAGTTGCTTTGTTTGAGAATTCCCTGTAGAGATGTAAGCCTGTGAAGTATCTTGGTTTCCTGCAAAATAATTGCTTGTAAAAAATGCATCATCTTTCTGATGCTTCTCCAAACTATTTATAGATGTAAAATATATCTGTTTGGAGAAGTTACATGGAAGTTGCTG